AAAGGAATCTGTAGAAAGGATGCAAAAAAAAAAAGGATTTTAATTTTTTTCTTCTTTCTCGTCTCATTTAATTCCAAGAAACTTAGAAAACATTTAGACAAATTTTCATTAAGAAAATCAGAAGACTATGACAGTAGAATCTATAAGTCATTAATAGATTTAGAAAGAAAATAAAAACAAAATAAGAAATATTTTAAATGTATCGACACAAGGTAATGCTCTCATCCAACATTATTTTCGAAGACGATTCAAATCGTATAAGTGATAATATAAAAGAAATTAATTGAAGAGAGCAAGAGGTATCAACAACCAAAATAGATTTAATAGTAATTAATTTCCTATTTATAGACTTGTATATACAATCAACAAATTTTGAGAATAAAAGGAAACATAAGGTTTTTCCGAGTAACATCTTTATTGCCTAACGAAGTATGTTGCAACATCATGAAATTGGAATAACCATTTACATATGCAAAACCAAAACCATGCATGCATATGGAGGTCATCATCATAAGAGTTGGGAATAACAAGATTTTCATCACACATCATTACAAATTGGTCTAATAACTTACCCACCTAAGTTTCCTTCTTAGAAAAGGTGGATGATAGCAATTAGAACATAAAAAGGCCAAGGATCAGACTATTAACAATATAGACTTACTATCTATCTCAAATGATTAACAATAGCAGAGATTTTTGGCACCAAAACCATCAAGCATGATGATTTTATCACCCCTGATCTAGTAGATTTTTAGTTTCAATAAAGCTGCTATTAATAATATTAATAAATATGCATCCCTTCTCCATCATGTTATCTGTAAATCAAGATGCTTGTGTAATCTCAAGAAAGAACCAAGCATCATCCAATGAAGATCAATCACTAAATTTTGTGACAATCCAAATCCCTTGGCATAAAAAGACCATATAAAAATTGCAGTCACATAGCAAATAGTGACAATTTTAAACCATCTTTTGGTTGATATTCCAATATTGAAGTGCAAGATATTGTTTCATCTTCAAATTTCACAGAGGTTTTGTATGAAAATAAGTATTACGCGAAGAACATACATAGTCATCGATATCGATATGGTCGAGGCCGATATAAACCGACAATCCTCTTATTCATCTTTTGGGTGGGTCTTGCGTTCATCTCTGAGCCCTGCAAGTTAAGTTGCAAAAGTAAGAACTCTCCTATGCTGGAAAAACAGCTGTAAAAACATCTGTGTTACTTACATCATGGACAGCTTCTCTTAGAAGGGCCAGTTGCTCCCTTGACACTGTCCGCACCTAAACACCACAGAAACAACTCATTTCCATGTTCATACAAAACCTTTTTCGAGGATTTAGCAGATGAACTGCATACGGCAATTCATTTGATGTTTGGTTCATGTGCATCAAGCTGACCTTCTTTATGATGGTCCAAGCCACACCCTCAGTGCAAGGTGGAGTGGTCAAAGATCCAGTGTATCTGTAGTATTTCCTACTTCCCTTTCTAACGTGCCTTGGATCCACCATGCCCACCACCTCCTCGGCCTCATGCTTATCTGAAATCCTCTCAATGTATCTCTCCAGCTGTGCATACCAAAACTCCAAGATGAGAGATAACTAACAAGAAACAATGTTAAGTAGTTCAAGACATTTTATTCAAGTTGATGTTGCCAAGAACAACAGTTCTTCATGGCAAAACCAACTAACTGAGACTAAATTATTAGTGGTCACTTGATTTTTCTCTAGATTTTTCTGAATCAGATGCCAATTCTGCATTAAAATTTGATCAACCATGATATTAGCTTCCTTGTAAATCGCTTTATGGCACGCAAAGATTCATATAGCCAATTCCAATTAGTTGATTATTGTCGTTGCTCTTACAAACCTTTGCTACTAGGCATCGACTTTGTCTTTTTTTTTTGGATGATTTCCATTAGGAGTTTTGCTTCGGGATGATCTGTTCCCCTTGTGACCATGATGAATAGCATACATGGCCATTATGCTAGGCCAGGAAAACGATTTGTTTGCGCTACGAACAGACCTCGGCAAGGAACGGATCACGGTGGCCAATCTTGTAGAGAATGCCGACGACTGCGATTTTATTATCGGCGCTTTCATGAACCATGTGCATCTCCATGGGGTACCTACAGCAGCAGCAGCAGAACATCACATGCAAGCGAGTTGGAAGGGCCGAAAATTATTATTCCTACCAAGTAATTGTTTCTTCCAAGGATCGAGAAGATGAAACACCTGCGGCCATTGATGGTGTGCTCGGAGGGCGAGTGCCAGTGCATCTGTTTAAGACCGTACTCTGTTCCGTTGATCCATATCCCTCCTGCTTCATCCTCCCATTTGAGCTTCGCACGGCGAGGAACTGGTCATCTTAATAAAAAGCATTTATGGGAAAAACTTTTAGCGCATAAGTTGCTTACCATGATGTCGTGACCACGGTTCTTGAGGATGGCATCGGCCGGGCGATAGGAGCGGCGAAGGCGGCCCAAGCAGGGAAATACCTGCACTCTCTCGTCGGAGAGATCAATGGGAGACTGCGTCCGACCCTTGCCACAGGCAGCCCATTCATGGTGGATCTCCCCCCAGTGCTCTGGTCCAATCTGGCTCCCCCTCTGGTAGCTGAACTCCTTCTCGTCCTCTGCGAGCAACAGGCTTGTTAACAGCTAGTGATGTAGATTTTGGTGTTGCAGACAAGGCCAAGAAATCGCATACCAACTTCTTGAGAGGCTACCGGGAAGGACTGCAGGAGAGCCGCGATAAGGACGCCGAAGAAGAACACAGGTTTCGGGTGCCCCATGATGGGGTCAACGAGGGAGAGGAGAGACAGTAGAAAGGGAGATGAAGAGCAGGAGAGACGGTCGAGTTTGCAGGTACAAATAGCTATTACTACTACGGGGCTCTTTGCTGCTTTCCCTGCAAGTCCACGAAAGACTCCATTCCTCAGAATAATTCGAATATTGTGTCACGATGTTAAGGAGAGAGACTCATTGACTTTGACCACAACGGCTACGATGTCATGTATTAATTATTATTATTATTTTAGTGATTGGAAGACAGACGTAATGCAAAAAGAATGGAGAGAGAGAGAGAGAGAGGCATCCAAGGTTGGCCGGCAGCTTGATCTTTCTGTCACCCTTTGCAAAAATATATATTAGGAGTATTATTTTCGGTATGCACTTATAGCTTTAAACTCAAAGTCTGGAAATATTGGTTATTTTCTTAAAATTTGGAAATATTAGTTATCAATATTTTAATTCATGAAATAATATTTTTTTTGAATCTTATTAATTAGATACCGTTCTGAATAAATTAATATTGTATGATTGGAATTTGACATTTTTATTTTTATTTTTATTTTTTAGGTTATAGTTGACTTTGAGTCAATTGTACCAATTCAAATCAATTCGTATCAATTCAGCTAATGTTCAGCTTAATTGAGGATCGATAAGGGTATGACTTCATATGCTGCTATCATTGTGGTTTGATTACTTTTTGATGACTTTTTGATGACCTAATGTCCCCAAGACCTATATGACCAATAAGATGGTAGGATAATTTACTTTGAAAATCGAATAAACTATCATATATGGTAGTTAGATGACTATTCCATCTATTATTGATCTTTTTATTGAGATGATTGTTGAGGTTTATGATTGAATTATTTGATACTTATTATGACTTTTGATATTTATACATGATATATTATTAATTTTATTACATTTTTTGAGAGAGAGGATGTTTAAGAGATCTTTACTCGGCATTGCTGATTTAAATTATTTATATTTTTTAAAACACTTTCCAAATTATAATATTGATTCCCATGCAAAGAGGACCATAGTCTACCACTAAGTTTTAGACTTTTAATATGAGCTACTAGGGTTTAATTTTATGAGAAAAGATATAACAATATATATGTTGAAAGATAAAAAAAAAAATAGACACAAGATAGACATTTGTTTATTGTATGAGACCTTGGTTGAGTTATTAAGGCATTCGTTGACATTTATTTTTGGATAGTTTTACCGTGTGACGATCGTATCATATTCATAGAGATGAATATTATTGATTGTCCTATGACATATTCTTTATTTAATGATATTATTAATTGATAAAATATTAGTAGAGATGAATATTTAAAAAATTCCATCAAGATTTGATCTCTAGTCAAGATTTATAATATTCAATCAATAACGAATTTGATTTTTTTATTTTATTTTATTTTTCATCTTGAGTACATTTTATCATGTGACAAAACTTATACGTAAAATATCTCTAACTAATAAAAATATATTTAAATAGCATATAAACTAAATTTGGGAAGGTATCAACTAGCTTAATCGATAAAGACATTGATAATTTATTATAGAATTCCCCTATCTTTCTCATTTATTTTTGTAAAAAAAAAAAGATAGATATATTCGAGTATCAGTATGCATGTACATTCCATGATAAACTCGTGAATCAACGCCAACAAAAATTGATGAAGTTAAATGTAGTCATAAACTAAAACTAGATGCTATGTCAGGTAGGCGTGGCAACCCACAACACTCTTCGACAGCACGCACAATGCCCCACGAGAAAACAAAAGGGACCATTAAAAAGCATGGCAGGTTGAGTCTTTTTTAAAGATTTTATTTTCTGTTTTAATGAAAAAATAATAAAAAATTAACAGAACTAATACATTTGATTTCAAAAACTTGACTCTCATATCAATTGTAAGCATAAAAATCTATAATTATGTTATATCTGAAATACGAAAATAACTTTTATGTTAGGATTGAAATTAAATACATAGATAGCACGTGTCAACGTTCTCTCAACCCCTAGAGGTCCTGTCCTTTTATAGTCGAGAACAGGTCTATGATAGGATCTCAGGAGATTTCCTCCCATTATCTCTCAAGCAATCGTTGATTTCTATTCTATTAACTAAAATATTTCGTCACAAAAACCTAACACATATCAAATAAAAATATCAAATCATTCTTCCGAGATGATTAGCGAAGAAATAATTACATCCTCTTTAAAAAACTATCAAAAAAAAATTTATTTTTTATTTAAAAATATATTTGAGTTTTCTCACGTTAAATTCTTTCATATATTTATATAGAAAAAACAAGGGTAATCAGACGAGCTGACTGATTGACTAGACACAGGGTCCAATTGTAATTTTTTGCTCGTTAATTAAAAAGCATGGCAGCTTGAGTTTTTTTTTAAGATGCCCTTTCCACTTTGTGTTTTAATGATGAGCAATCCAACGGTTGTTTCTAACGGTCAGCAGTAATTTTATTTTCCATTTTAATAAAAAAAAAGATAATAAATTAACAGAACTAATACATTTGATTTCAAAAACTTGACTATCATATCAATTGTAAGCATAAAAATCTATAATTATGTTATATCTGAAATACGAAAATAACTTTTATACTAGGATTTAAATTAAATACATAGATAGCACGTGGTCCTGTCCTTTTATAGCCGAGAACATATCTATGATAGGATCTCATGAGATTTCCTCCCATTATCTCTCAAGGAATCGTTGATTTCTATTTTATTGACTAAAATATTTCGTCACAAAAACCTAACACATATCAAATAAAAATATCAAATCATTCTTCCGAGATGATTAGCGAAGAAATAGTTACATCCTCTTTAACAAACTATCAAAAAAAATTTATTTTTTATTTAAAAATATATTGGAGTTTTCTCATGTTAAATTTTTCATATATTTATATAGAAAAAACAAGGGTAATCAGACGAGCCGACTGATTGACTAGACAAGGGGTCCAATTATAATTTTTTGCTCGTTAATTAAAAAGCATGGCAGCTTGAGTTTTTTTTTAAGATGCCCTTTCCGCTTTGTGTTTTGTGTTTTGATGATGAGCAATCCAACGGTTGTTTCTGACAATCAACAGTAATTTTATTTTCCATTTTAATGAAAAAAAGATAATAAATTAACAGAACTAATACATTTGATTTCAAAAACTTGACTCTCATATCAATTGTAAGCATAAAAATCTATAATTATGTTATATCTGAAATACGAAAATAACTTTTATGCTAGGATTGAAATTAAATACATAGATAGCACGTGTCAACATTCTCTCAAACCCTATAGGTCCTGTCCTTTTATAGCCGAGAACATATCTATGATAGAATCTCAGGAGATTTCCTCCCATTATCTCTCAAGGAATCGTTGATTTCTATTCTATTGACTAAAATATTTCGTCACAAAAACCTAACACATATCAAATAAATATATCAAATCATTCTTCCGAGATGATTAGCGAAGAAATAGTTACATCCTCTTTAACAAACTATAAAAAAAAATTTATTTTTTATTTAAAAATATATTTGAGTTTTCTCATGTTAAATTCTTTCATATATTTATATAGAAAAAACAAGGGTAATCAAACGAGCTGACTGATTGACTAGACACGGGGTCCAATTATAATTTTTTGCTCGTTAATTAAAAAGCATGGCAGGTTGAGTTTTTTTTTAAGATGCCCTTTCCGCTTTGTGTTTTGTGTTTTGATGATGAGCAATCCAACGGTTGTTTCTGACAGGCAGCAGTAATTTTATTTTCCATTTTAATGAAAAAAAGATAATAAATTAACAGAACTAATACATTTGATTTCAAAAACTTGACTCTCATATCAATTGTAAGCATAAAAATCTATAATTATGTTATATCTGAAATACGAAAATAACTTTTAAGCTAGAATTGAAATTAAATACATAGCACGTGTCAACGTTCTCTCAACCTCTAGAGGTCCTGTCCTTTTATAGCCGAGAACAGGTCGGATCTCAGGAGATTTCCTCCCATTATCTCTTATGGAATCGTTGATTTCTATTCTATTGACTAAAATATTTCGTCACAAAAACCTAACACATATCAAATAAAAATATCAAATCATTCTTCCGAGATGATTAGCGAAGAAATAGTTACATCCTCTTTAACAAACTATCAAAAAAATTTTATTTTTTATTTAAAAATATATTTGAGTTTTCTCATGTTAAATTCTTTCATATATTTATATAGAAAAAACAAGGGTAATCAGACGAGCTGACTGACTGACTAGACACGGGGTCCAATTGTAATTTTTTGCTCGTTAATTAAAAAGCATGGCAGGTTGAGTTTTTTTTTAAGATGCCCTTTCCGCTTTGTGTTTTGTGTTTTGATGATGAGCAATCCAACGGTTGTTTCTGACGGTCAATAGTAATTTTATTTTCTGTTTTAATGAAAAAAAGATAATAAATTAACAGATCTAATACATTTGATTTCAAAAATCTATACCAATTGTAAGCATAAAAATCTATAATTATGTTATATTTGAAATACGAAAATAACTTTTGTGTTAGGATTAAAATCAAATACATAGATAGCTCATGCCAACGTTCTCTCAACTCCTAGAGATCCTATCCTTTTATAGGCGAGAACAGTCTACGGTAGAATCTCAGGACATTTATTCCCATTATCTCTCGAGGAATCGTTGATTTCTTTTCTATTGCCTAAAAAGCATGGCAGGTTGAGTTTTGTAAGATGCCCTTTCCGCTTTGTGTTTTGATGATGCGCAATCCAATGGTTGTTTCTGAGCGTCAGCAGTCATTTTATTTTCCGTTTTAATGAAAAAAAAGGATAATCAAAAAATTAATTTATTTCTCGGAGATATCAAACCTCCAAAACTGACACTAACCACGTCCAACAACATAAGAAAGATTCCCTGGTTTCGGAATGACGACGACTGGCATCCACCACGATCAAACTGTGCTTCTTTCGTTCCTACGTTAATCCAACGGATAACACAGTTAATTGCAAGAAAACTATAATAAGATAATTTGCAGCGTCTAATTATTACCTAAATCAAATCAGTGCGTGCAATCCTCCCACACATTTAAATCCGTTAACATGACGTATTATTACCCGCTCCGTTAACATCATGACGTATGATTTGAATCCCATACCATCTCCATCGGGTTTTATACTCACTCGCTCACCTGGTCTTGAAGCGTGCGGTCGTCCTGCTTCCGGCCATGCTCGCCATTACCCTTTTATCCTCGACCCCAAACCCCTCTCTCGAGATGCACACTACGGAGGAAAGATGAAGTGCTGTTGTTTAGGCATTTCCAACCTGCCACCCTCCTTCTTCTCCTCCTCCTCCTCCGTTTTGACCGGCAAATGCCGCTTCCGGTTCCACTACTATTACTCTCCGCCAAACAAGAGACCGGTGAGGTTTCGTGGCTTCCATGCCCTCCGTTGCCACAAGATGTACGTCCCTGGTAATCTTCCGTCTCTCTGTCTTTCTTTTATGTTTCTTTCCTCCTCGTTTTCCTTTGATTTGCTTTCAGCGATTCTTCCGGCATAATTTGATGGGTTGGACTACGGTCTGTAGGATTTGGGGGGGCTTCGCCGGAATCAAAGGCCGCAAGAAATCTCCAGGATTTCTTCACTTACGCCGCCGTTAAGATTGTTCTGGCTCAGCTCGAGGTTGTTTTCTCTCTATTCTTTCGCCTTTAATACTAAATACTGTATGTGAAATACACCGTCCGCCTGCAGACAAATTTTATCTGTCCTATGAAAGAAGAAAATCAATTACTCCATTTTTCATCTACTCAATAAAATCAAAAGTAGTCACAGATGCTTGTCCTATCTGATGGACTTGGTCCTGTTCTTCTTTTTCCTGTTGGTCTGTCAAACAGTTACTCATCGATTGGTTGACTTGTGCTTGCTCGATTACATATCTTTTTACTGTTAGGATGGAGGAACATGAAAAAAACAGAATACTACGATACGAATAAAAATAATCCTTTCGATTCAAGAAAACTGATGTAGTATTTAAAAACAGGAGGATTGACAAGAACACTTACAAGATACTCTCAAGTGCATACACTCTCTATTGTCTTGTTTCATGAACTATGATCATATTTATGAGACTTAGTTATAACCATCCTATAATTACTAGATCATGATTGAGGTAGTTATTGAAATCATCCTGTAATCACTAAATCATGATAACTATTTGGATAATTATGAATCAAATCTCAATACTCCCCCTTGATTCACAGTTGCATACATCAATTTGTGATATAAAATAAACATGCTTTCGAACGGGAAGCGATTTGGTGAGGATATCCGCAACTTGTTCATTCGTTCCACAATACTTCATTGTTATGGCTCCATTTGCTATAAAATCTCAGATGAAATGATAGCGTATCTCTATATGCTTCGTCATTGCAATTGTGGCTTTATTGTCACAAAATATTTCCGTTGCTTCTTTTTGTTCTTGATGAAGATCTTCAAGAAGTCTTCTAAGTCATATTGCTTGACAAGCTGCTGATGTTACGGCTACATATTCTACTTCCGATGTCGACAACGCAGTTGTTGCTTGCTTTTTAGAACTCCAAAATATAGCTCCCGATCCGAGGCTAAAAACATTGCTTGAAATACTCTTTCGATCATCTAAATCTCCTGCCCAATCACTATCAGTGAAACTAGATAATTTACAATTAAAATTATGAGAATACCAAATACCATAATCTGTAGTTCCAGCAATATAACGCAGAATTATTTTAATAGCTTTGAGATGATGTTTGCTTGGGCTATGCATAAACCTGAATACTACACCAATAGAAAATGTAATATCTGGTCGAGTATGAGTTAGATAAATCAAACCTCCAACCAAACTTCTGTAGTATCTTGTGTTTGTCAGACTTGTACCATCTTCAAATTTCAATTTCTCATTTACATTCATGGGTGTTGCTGCAGCTTTACAATTAATCATGTTAAACTTTTTGAGTATATCCATTGCATACTTTATTTGTGAAATAAAATTTTCATCTGATCCTTGCTTCACTTCCAACCCAAGAAAATAATGCAGTAGACCTAGATCTGACATTTCAAACTTATTCATCATGCATTTTTTAAATTCTGTCACCAAAGAGTTAGATGAACCCATATATATAATATCATCAACATAGGGGCAAACCATTAGAATATTATGTTCACCTTCCTTCTTTAGATAAAGAGTAGGTTCATTATTGCTCCTCTTAAATCTATTTTGATGAAAATAAGAATCAATTTTACTATACCATGCCCTTGAAGCTTGTTTAAGCCCATAAAAAGCTTTTCTTAACTTGTACACCTTTTCTTCATATCCTTTAACCAAAAAACCTTCAGGTTGAGCAACAAAAACCTCTTCGTGTGAATCTCCATTTAAAAACGCAGATTTCACATCAAATTGATAAACAGGCCAACTTAAGTGAGCAGCTAAAGCCAAGAAAGTTCTCACGGTTTCGAATCTAGCAACTGGAGAAAAAGTTTCATCAAAATCAATACCTTGTTGCTGTGAATATTCTTTTGCTACAAGCCGAGCCTTATGCTTTTGGATACTTTCATCTGCATTAAATTTTATTTTGAACATCCATTTTAATCCAATCATTTTTTTTTCTTTCGGTAGATCCATTAGCTCCCAAGTTTCATTCTTCTCAATTGACTTGATTTTCTCCTTCATTGCTTTTCTCAATTCCTCTTTTTTAACTGCTTCCTCAAAAGTTGTTGGATTTGAAATAAACAAAGCAAATGTTGAATTATAAATTTCTGTCAGTGATATGAAATTTCTTGGAGGGGTTTCATCTGAGGAATCAGAATTTGAACTGCTATTGGGTGAGGTTGACGATGAACTTGTTGGAGTAGGATCTGTCATTTGATTCTGCGGAGTGTCTAGTTCTGCTGGAATCTACATTTGTGTTCCACCTTTATTGGTCTTCCAATTCCAACTTGTCCTTTCATCAAACATAACATTTCTGTTAATAATAACTTTGTCACTAACAGGGTTATATAATCGATATGCTTTCGATTGTAAAGAATAACCAATTAAAATATATTTTTCAGATTCTTCATCAAGCTTGTGATGATTTTGTGAATTCACCAAAGCATAAGCAATACAACAAAAAATTCTTAGATGTCTAACACTTGGTTTCATACCATACCAAGCCTCAAAAGAAGTTCGATTCATAATAACCTTTGTTGGTGAAATATTCAACAAATAAACTGCTGTTACAACTACTTCTGCCCAAAACTGATTTGGAAGATGTTTTCCTTTAAGCAAACTTCTTGCCATTTCAACGACAGTCCGATTCTTACATTCACCTACACCATTTTGCTCCGGTGTATATAGTGTTGTCAATTCTCTGTCATTTTCTTCACAAAAAGAACTAAACTCATTAGATAAAAATTCACCACTTTTATCTGTCCGAAGTGTTTTTATATATTTACTACTTTGTCTTTCTACAAGTACCTTAACTTTCGAAAATTATCAAATATTTCATATTTCAGTTTCAAAAAATATACCCAACTCATGCGACTATAATCATCAGTAAACAATAAAAAATATTGACTTCCACCAAATAATTTTGTATTCATAGGTCCACATTAGTCAGCTCTCCATGCTTTTCCAATAGGAAATGGTTTTTTACTTTGTTTGCCATAAATGCATCCTTCACATACATCAAGTGTATTAATCTTGGGCAATCCGAAAATCATTCCTTTTTGATTTAACAACTTTAAACCCTTAATGTTAAGATATTCATATCTTAAATGTCATAAACTAGACTCATTCTTTTGAGTTGTAATAAGCGTATGCCTTTCAATATTTGACACATCAAGTGGAAACATCTTGTTTTGTGTCATGCAAACATTTACTATAATCAAACCAGATTTTTTATCTCTAATAGTGTATGAACCATCATCAAATATTACTTAATATCCATCATCTATCAATTGTCCAATACTCAACAAGTTATGTGATAAAGTAGGAATAAAGAAAACATTATCAAGGTATTTTACCTTCCCTTGATTTGTCTTCACATCAATTGTTCCTTTCCCTTCCACTTAGATTTGCTTGCTATCTCCAAATCTAACTTTCAACTTGTGAGTTTCATCAATATCTCTAAATATTGATTTTATGCCTGACATATGATTAGAACATCCACTATCCAGAAACCAAATATCATTTGAGATATCATGAACTTGTGAATGAGTCATAAACAACTTATTATTTTCTTCATTTTCCTCCACATAGCTTGCTTGCTTTTCTCTTTTCCAGCAATCTGCCTTCATGTGACCAAATTTTTTACAATAATGATATTGAATTCCACTCTTGTAATTTCTTTGATCATAATTTGATTGCCTTTGTTCATTATGCCCATCAAAGTGTTCTCTTCCTCTTCCTTTTCCATTTCCTCTACCACGAAATCCTCCTCTGTCACGTCCTCTTCCTACTGATTTTTTGTCTTCTTTTGAAGTACAAGACTCCCCCTTAACCTGAAATGTTTTTTCTTCACTTTTTTCAAGTGACCTGTTTAACCTTATTTCATGTGCTTGCAAGGAACTCATTAGTTCATCAAATGAATAAGTAGATAAATCTTTTAACTCCTCAATTGCGGCAACAACATGATCAAATTTCGGAGTTAAACTTCTCAAAACTTTTGCAACAATTATATGATCAGGAAGATGTTCACCATAAGATTTCATTTGACTAACAATTTCAGTCACTCGAGAAAAAAAATCTTGCACCGATTCATTGTTTTTCATGAATAAAATTTCAACCTCACGACGGAGGGTTTGAAGTTTTACCGTAATCACCCTTGATGAGCCTTGAAATTCATTTTGAAGTATCAACCAAGCTTGCTTTGTGGTTGTCGCTACTGTAATTCTTGAGAAGATCATCTCATGTACAGCTTGTTGAATGAAGAACAATGTGTTTGAGTCATTCTTTCTATTCTCCCTCAGCCTGATTTCGTCATCTGGATCTGCATATCCATTCTCTATTAAGTCTCAAAGATCTTGAGACTTGAATAGAGTCTTCATCTTGATACTCCAAAGTTCATAGCTTTTGCCCGAGAAGATGGGAATAAGGGGTTGAGACATGGAATTACCATTGAAAGCCATAATGCCTCGTTCAGATTGAAACTAGGCTCTAATTCCACAAATATTAAGGATGGAGGAGTAAAGAAAAAATAGAATACTACGATACGAGTAAAAAAAATCCTTTCGACTCAAGAAAACTGATATAGTATTTAAAAACAGGAGGATTTACAAGAACACTTATAAGATACTCTCAAGTGCATACACTCTTTATTGCGTCCTATTTATAGGACCTAGTTATAACCACCCAATAACTACTAGATCATGATTGAGGTAGTTATTGAAATCATCCTGTAACCACTAAATCATGATAACTATCTAGATAATTATGAATCAAATCTCAACACTTACCAGTTGTACCAATCTAATCTGAAGTTGCAGCCTAGCCTTTGTGTGGACAATCAATTCGATGGAAATGTTTTGTTACCTCTAGGTTATACTTCTCTTGTGTTCTGATCAGTTTTCTATTGCTTTTTTTTCCCTTTTTTACTAATTTTTTCTTGGTGTTTCTTTCTATTCTGAATTGGGGAGCAGAGATATGTATTTAATAGGTTAATTTATAACTTCTTGGTTTTGGGGCAAAGGTTTTATTTTTATGTCCTCAGAAATTATTGCCTAGACTTCAACCTTGGTAGATGTATCTATACGTCAATTTTAGGTCCTTCCATTCTGAGTTACCCTTTACTAGAACTTGAATTCCCCTACTGCTATCACAGTGTCACATCTTTCTTACAACATCAGGTTGGTATCGATGTGTTATACAAGCAATCATTCTTATGATGGAGTAGGTGGTGCTGGAGGAATGATCATATATGAGAGCATGAGTTTCACCTTTCTTTTGTCATAAATCTGGTACCAAGATTTATCAGCATGACACTGATAAGCTATGAAACCAAGTAACGTTAAATATTCATTCCAATTATCATATTTTGTACTTTTATTAGATTCCTAACTGTTATCCAAAGATAAATTTAGGCAGAGGACTCAAATCTGGATCCTTATGCGGCTCCTATAGAATATGACAAGTTTTTCTGTATCGAACAAAAATTGACTTCAACTTGAGAATATTAAGTCCTATCAAACATAGACTAGGTTGTCTGAATTGAATTGTATCCTCTTCCATTCAGCATCTCTAATTGTTTCTTATACTTATACATCATGATGTCAATATGATTACCTTTCTCCATCTTGTCTTAATAATAAACCGAGTGGTGTTCCCATATCTTCATTTTCCAACGAGGCTTGGCTAGAATCTGTCTCCAACTTGTAGTTTGTTTCTATCTCGAATAAGAACTTTGTAGTTGCTTTCACCTATCTTAATTATCTCTTTAATTGTGAACAGAGCTATAATCCTGAGGCATATCAGGAGTTGATGGAGTTTATCAACCACAACTCTTTGAATGATGGGGACATGTTCTGTAGAAGGCTGATGCGTGAGTCTCCAAGGCATAAGAGTTTAGGTGTGAATATTGTCATTTTCTTAGTGATTCTACTTGCAAAAGCTACTGTAAACTGACAAAAAATTAGTCACTAAGATAAAAATAGGGAAAGAAAAGTTTACGTTGCACCAAGCAATATAAGTTTCCATTATAAGTTGTATTTGTTCAAATCATGGTAATTTTAGAGGATAAAATTTATCAACACATGCAAGTTGCTGAATCAGTTTCAGAGGATTTCTTTTTGTGGATAACTATGCTGATTAACAGAAAATATGTATGAAGTCTATGAAGATCCACACATGTAGCGATTGGTGAAAAAAAATTTTGGTGCAGAATACTCGTTCTCAGTGCACTATGTGATATATGGAAACAATTCATAATCTACTGTAATGTTACATGACAAGGAAAATGATTTAGTGGTAGGAATTAGTTGACTGAGTTAGGGAGCATCTGACGTATACTTGTTAAGCCATGATTGTTCATCATGGTATTTGTGCACAGTCAACTCTACAGGAGTTATGTATTTGAATATTTGTATATTATTTTTCCACTGATACAAAAGCCTATAACCACTAGCATCTTTTAGAGTTGCTTTTATAAAATGGAAGGTCTGAAAAGGCTTTGGAAGAATAAATTGGTTGTGGTAGGAAACTATGAGCTTCAGGTGATATTGTAAAAGTTCCAAAATGTATATTCAGATGAAATTTCCAGTATGGAGTTTTCTTATCTATTTAAATTTATTGGTTAAAATTCTTGTATTTAGCTCCATTTATGTGACTAGATCTGTGTGTATAATAGAAGAGATTATGTAACTAGATCTATGCATACGTAAGTCCAATAAGTATGAATTTAGTCCATATTCATGCATGTCTAGGTCGGATTTGTGTGGATTCTAATCTAGTCCTAATGGAGCTTTAAATTTGCATGGATGCTGGTCAGGTCCATATAGATTTAGGTCAGATTTGCATGAGTATTGGCCTGCTCAAAATGTGATCTGAACATCATGGATTTATTTATATGATATGCATGGATCTGAGCCACACTCACATATCTTGGCTTGGACCCAATTTAAACTCAAGATGTACATTGTAAAGATATTAGTTAATGTTGATTTATAGATCTACAAAGAAGATGAAATCTAAGAATGAAATCATGAGAAAGAACAAAGAAAAAGCTTGCTTCAATGAAACCTAAGTGAATTTTTAATTTCTTTCGGATTCACCGTGCTTAGAATAAAATATGAGGATGTTTTCTTGAGATTGGAGCTTGATATTCTAAAACCTAAATTTAGATATGAGAAAGATGAAGATGTGAGATTGAAATTGTCAGATAAAAGAGTTTAGAATGGAAGAAGTTCCCTGTGAAGAAAACTGGAGAAGTGAGATGCAGGGGAGAAAGAGAAGAAAAACAATAATAAAGATACTGGTACCTCCTCATATCAAATATAATTGCTTGGTCTGCATTCTGGTTGACTATTAGATTGGTAAAGTTCATCTTGATGATACGGTCGAGATTTGATCCCTTGGTATATATTATAACAACTTCATTGTCCATATTAACAAGCCTTGATCAGAATATACTACTATAATGGAAGAGTTTATATTGGTATGTATTTCACATTAAACTTCTACTTTTTCTTTGCCTTTTAACCAGCAAGAAATTAGTGCACTCCAATTTATATAGTAACTGAAGAAAATAACATATAATTCTGTACCTATTGATTTGAAAGTCCATAAAAGCAGAAAAATTACAGATTTAATGAGATTAGTGCACATCTGTCTTCAAAACTTTAAGTTTTTCATATCCATTTCCCTCTATTAAAGATCATCATCATGTAATGTCCTGTCAATAATATGGTACTAATATGCTTTTTTTCCCCTTTGGTGACAGCTCTTCGTATTTTAGAGGTCAGTACTCAATATCTTGAGCTTGCATTCACTAAGTTGTTGCTGTGTTAGATTACAACAACGAATTTTGTGCAGGTTCGATCGGCATATTCGAAAAAAGATTTTGAGTGGGACAACTTAAAGAAGTTAGCTTTTAAGGTTAGTATGGAATTGCAAAGAGATTCTCTCAAGACTGAATTTTTGGTTATCTGTTGATTTACTGTTGCAGATGGTTGATGAGTCTAACACTAGGCTCATGAGGGAATATGTGACAGAAACAAGTCACCTAGAAAATGAGCAGTAAATTTTTGAGATGCAAGTTACTCCTTCCCAAAACATCAGGAATTATATATATCAACATGGCATGCTACATGACATAAGCCTTATGAATTGTGGCATTTAAAAGTACTTGTACATTAGTTATACGTAGATATCATAAGAAAATGATTCAAAAAGATTCGATTATGTTAAATGGCAAACTAAAGTTCTATTAGAATGTAATGAAGCATGGTAATTTTTTATTTTTTGTTTTCCAAAGTGTAGGTGGTGAAGATAGGTTATGATCCCACTATCTGACAAAGTGTCCTTTCTAGATAGGCTAATTCTTGGTAGGCTTTTACTTTTATTCAAACAATATTATAGTTTTCGTTTATGCCCAAAGAAACTATTCATTTGGCTTTCCAATTTTGCCTCTCAAAAATAAAAAAAGCTTCATTTCTCCTTTTTTAATGATTTCTTTTTCTTGGATTTTTAAATAGGTTTGGTTCAACAAATTTTAAAACAAATCATATAAATTTAAATCGATTCAAAATTTTTAGAAAAAATCTTTTAAGTTTGAGAATTTCTCAAAAAGCATCCTAAGTTTGAAAATTTTTTGCTGAAAAGATTATTTTATCATGTGAAAAGAATTTTATATTTATGAATAAAGAAATTAGTATATTTAAATATATATATATAACTTTAAAGATAATAGGTAGATACAATATTCTAACTAAATTATTTACTAATTTAGTAAATAAATAATTTTGTTATTTTTCATGGATGTTATTATTATTTGCAGGGATATGTATGTATGTTATATTAATATTTACTAGGTTAAATATGTATTTTCATAATTTTTAAAGAGGATAGATATGTAAAATCACTAGTGGTTTGCCACACCAATGAACAATATTAGAAGCTTTCTATTTATAGCCCCTATTTTACTATTGATAATACTTTATTATTGATAATCTCTTAAAAATAATAATATATTATTTTACTATTTATAGTCCTTGCATTATTGAATTTATCCCTTATTTATAGTCTTTACCGTCATATCTTATATCATCTTTGATGCTACTCCCTATCGATGTCATAGCTGCCACTAACATCATCAGTCCCCACCCCTTCCACGCCACCCTCCGAGAAAGAAGAAGAAGAGGAGGAAGAAGGAGAGAGGATAAAGAAAAAAAAAAAAGTATTTATATCCCAATATTATTATGTCATTCATTAAGAAGATTACCTATCCTATTTTTTAAATTAGATTCTCAACGTTTAGATTACATCAAACTACAAATATTTATCAAGGAACTGGATAAATATAAATTAAAAACAATTCAAGTTGCTTGGACAAAATTCAATCTAAATGTATCAATTTGCATATAATTTTGAAGCATAATTCTATTTCCTTGCTTTTTTTTATTAAAGAATTTTAGGTACATGTTGGTTCTTAGCATAGATGTTATTGAATATTGTTACAAACCAAAGGTTTAATTTAAGTTGTTTAAGTAGTGAGCCGACACTTATATACGTAACCTGAGATTGTATCTCAACTTTATCTTCTATCACATATATATATATATATATATATATATATATATATATATATATATATATATATATATATATATATTTCAACATCTTATTTCATGTGGTTAATTGTTTCTCTCGTATATTAATTTACTCAAATTTGTCGTCTACTTTTTTCACCACTTGTGGATAGTTACTCATGTTGGATTTGATGCCTATTTTAGTTAAACATGTATTTTAATTATTAAATATAATAAAAAAAATGTAATAAATATATTGAAGACTTTTCTATCGATTTAAACTTTTTGGAATTAAACTTTTCAAACACATTCACAAAACATGACATATTTTGACAGATAATATTCAAGAGTAATTAATACATAAACTAATTAATTTTAGGGGGGGGGGGGGGGTGAATTAGTGCAGTAGTAAAAATCACGTCGATTTTAAAAATCTTTTCGTTTCATATGATAAAACTGATTTAAGAAACTTGCTCAACTTGAAAGTGTATTCGTAAACGTATTGAAAACAGTAAGCAAGTAAGGAGGTTTGCAGTAAGATAAATTACACAAAAGAAAAGGCAAATCGATTTATAGTGGTTCAGTCGTCGTGACATATATCCACTCCGTCGATTCCTCTTCCGTCGAAGCCACCGGCATCCACTATCGATCTTCCTTTAATAGGCGAAGATCAACCTCCTTCTTATACCCCTCTTCTCCTTTTATCGGGTTTAGGAGACAACCCTTACAAGCACACACATTCCTCTCTAACCAGAATTCTAAAGTTAGATCTAAAGGAGGGATTTCTCAAGTGATTTCTATAGCATTTTCTCACTTTAAAACTCTCTGTGCTTGTGTGTGTTAACTAGGGATGAGAGGGGTATTTATAGGCTTCAAGTTGATTCAAACTTGGAGCCTAAAAAGGTCTCATCCAAGTTTCCTAGGTACTGGCGGTACCATCGTCGTTCCTGGGCGGTACTACCGTCGCAAGATCTGGTACTAGGCGGTACCACCACCGAACAAGGGCGGTACCACCGCCCAGGTTTCCTAGGGTGCTGTTCCCCAGGCGGTGCCACCACCAGCCCTGGTAGTGCCACCACCAGCCCTGGCGGTGCCATCGCTGACCAAGCTTTTAGCACCCTGGTTGAGCCTTGAATTCGACCCAAACTAGCCCAACTTCGGGCCCAGTTTGTCACGGACATACTTCTAAACATGATGTTTGATGTAATGCTTATGTATGTCCATATCTTTTGGTATGTTCATGCTTTGCACAGCATATAGAAGAAAGGTCGAAGGCTTAACAGTCCCATTTTAGTTGGGTTTGGTGGCCTTCTTCGGCTTGTAAATAAAGGTCGTGTCACATAGACACTTGTGAGAGATAGCTCGGTTTGTAGTGGACCATTTTGACCCTTTGTTGTGCAACTGTTTAGAGCTTGTAAAGTCTGTTTGTAATTTGCATTGTTTATGAAGTGTTTCCTGGAATGTTTGCTTGTGGATCTCGAGTGAGGTGTTTTCTCTAGCCCGTTTTCTCTTTTGTGAGTCCTAAGGGACCATGGGAGGCTTCGAGGAGGCTGACCTTTGTAGACGGACACACAAGGGTGCCGCACGACTTAGGCAAAACCAGCTAAGTCCGTGACAGATGGTATCAGAGCAGGACAAGCACTCATAGAAACACTTGACATGCAAACGTGGGGGACCTAACGGGGCTGTGTTGAGGGCAGTCAATACACGCGTGACCGTTTGGGGAAAACGAGCATGGAGATGTAGGGAAAAGGAGTCGCTCGGAGGAGCGGGCATCTGAGATTGACATTTAGAGGAATGGCCAACCCTTCGCGCAAAAGGCACCACGATAACAAGCAAGCTTGGAAGAATGCAGAGCGCACAAAGGTTGGGATGGCTGAGTTCGAGCTATAGCTCGACGTTGACAACAATACTTAATGGTGCTCAAGGCAAGCAAGGCGCTTGGTAAAGGATGAGACCATACAAGGTGGAATGAGTTGCTCAGCGACCAAAAGAGTTGTCCAAAGCTCACAGAGGTGAGGGAAATTGCTAACTCGAAGAATTCGGTACTCATACATGGGTTTGTATGCGGACGATGGAATGTTCGCGGCCATCCCAAGGCGACCGAAACTCGGCGCCATAGAGCATTGAAAATTTCTCTTCGGCATGTGAAGGATACGTCCGTAAGAGACTGAAGTGTGTAGTGTGTTTAGCATGATGCTAGGCCTTGAGGGGTGCAGTGGGGGCTGCATTGATGTGGAGTCACAATCTAGCAAGTACGTTTGCAGGAGGCAGAACAATGCATAGTTTGTTCAGCAAATCGGAGTAGTCCAAGGGGATGGTGGTCTCCAAAATGAAGAGAGATATTGCTCAAACGGGATAGATATCCAGGAGGGATAAGTCTCGTCTCTCCAGAGGGAGAATCATGTGCAACTGACCACACATGTTGAAGAGGAGTACCTCAACAAACAACAACTCCACGAAGCTCAATGGATCGAGCAAGCGGCGAGGAGTCATCGCATGATCTCACTTGAGAGAATGCATTGGTAGATGCATTGCAAGATCAAGTGGGGGAGCGACCTAAGGCAACACAAATGAAGGCACACTTGGAGTCGATATGGAGATCGGACTCAAGGGAGGGTTGACCCGTGGAATGGTGGGCATGAGGGCCACCATCAACTCAATGCAAAACGAGGAGCGGAGCAACTTTGGTGTAACTTGGCGAAGTACCCAAGTCGTATGAAGGGAGCTAGCATAGAAGATGACACATGGAGCGGAGGCACAAAGCTTTCCTTGGACAGAGGTCGAGGACATGAACTCTTGCAGAGGCAAGAGCAGGATCATGTTGTTCCATGGGTCCTTCATTCTGACGGAGCGGACGCAACTTGCATGGTGCCAAAGACGAAGGGAGCTTCTGGGCACATGCACCTTATCTTGGAGAAGCATTTGATGGAGGAACTAAGGCGACTCAACTTGTGGAGGCAAAGTTGGGTTCAGAAGGCCTTGGCACGGGGCAAGAGGACGCGAAGGTGGGTACTCTTGAAGAATATGCCACAGTGTTGCCAGTCAAGTTGCCAGGCAGGAAGCGATGCATAGCGGAGATTGTGCTAGTAGGGGCAAAGGCCTAGGATTCAGACAATAGTGCACTAATTGCAGCGAAGTCGGTGGACTTCGGGAGCTACTAGGCGACGGACTGTCCTAGAGTGATGCTTCATCTAGGTGTGACCCAAGAGTGGGCGGATGAAGGTCGATTGCCAAAGGAGCGAACAAAATCGAAGGTGGAGGAGACCCTGCAATGTATGGGCAAAGGCCACACATGGAGGGATCACAATTCGAGTTTATCCCACATGGATCAGAAGGCGACATGGTGCAGCGAATCGTGGTGGAATAGTTCGTGGCAATGCGATACACATGACCAAGTCCCGTGAGGGACTAGATCATACGGAGGTATGATCGGGAGATACTAGAAGCTCCACTTTGGTGAACAACATGACAGTAAGAAGGGCTATGGATTCAAGGAGTGAAGGCTATGGTACCGTAGAGGTGGGTCTTCCGTACGTGCATCGAATTTTGCATCAGATGAAAGCCTTGGTCATCAACATATAGGGGCTATGTTCCACCAAGGGAAAAGTTCGAATGCAAGTACCAGTGAGTCCCATGGGAGGGACTTGATTATGCAGAGGTATGATCGAAGCAGTTGGAGAGTTGGACTGCTCCAGAGCCCATATTCGCTTAAG